CTATGACTACGACTACGACTACGGCTACGACTACTACGACTACTACGACGACAATTACTACTACCACTGCCACCAACGCCCACGACTGGCTGATTTTGGGATTCAAATTTGTTTGAACAGCACGTCTTCCTTGCAGTGGCTCAATGTTGTTGCATGTTTCGTGCATGGCTTCAAAGCAGTGACACCAAGGACAGCAACTTGTCAACCCCACTGCGAGCCCATGAAAAGTTGGCAATGCATGTTGCGCATATTGGTCATAGAGTTTAGTTTCGGCCAGCTTTCCATGTAAGTTGAAAAAGCATAGGTGCATGATATCATGCCACCATGGCGGCCAGTCCGTGTGGATCCACAGCGAGCTTGCACGCAACAGGAACAGCGAAATGATGAATCGAGAATGTGTTTCGGTGATGCGAGAGCCCTTACCTTGAGTTCATTCCCGCGCACATGTGTGGTTTCGGACTGTTCGAGCGTAGAACTCATAGCATTCCTGGCAAACAGCAATGCGGATTCACCTGGATGGTGTCATACATGAGGCCCTCTGCGACAAAACGATGGGCAGATCGGCCTGTGTGGCTGAAAAGCGTGGACGTGACTGGATATTCAGTGTGTTCCTCAGCTTTCTTGGCCAGGCGATGATAAGTATGTGTGCTCCTGCTGTGAACAGAGGCTCTAGCATGCCGCGCCCGATGGATCCAATTGCAAACTTTGCGAAAGTCCCGAGGTGGGCGGTGAGTGTTTGTTCGCGTTCTGTATGTGTTTCCTAATCCGAATGTTCTAGCTTAAGTTTTGTCATGTTGCGAGCTATAGAGTATCTGCAGCCAATGGAAATCACTGAAGTTTCGCGAGATGGCAAGTTCAGTCATCGCCGTGGCTGTTTCCCACATGTACTCTTGCAGCCTACTCTCAAGGTCTTGCGGCTGTCATCATTGGAAGTGGACCTGATGTGTCTTTCAACGGTGCGAATGAGGTGCCTTACATGACATTTCTTGTGCTTTGTGGCTGCTCACGAATGCCATTGTTCGGGGTGAGGCTCCGAGCAGCGGATTCCCGCCTAAACCTCCTGGGCTCCGACACCTCATGCTCATGACCATGGTGCTCATCACCATTCAAGCAACTGCAAGCCATCATCCACATCAGCATCGTCCTCACTGTTTTTGGGGTTTTGGTTTTCGTTTCGTGAAACCACGGCTTCGTGAATTCTGGCAAGCAATCATGATTCTTTCAGGGCGGGGGTTCTCGCAACCACTCACTCCTTGCGGTCTCAGGTTTGTGTTCAGGGTTTCGGGGTCTGCAGCGCCTGTTTGAGTTTCACATGTTCCGCAACTGCACACTCCGTTTACGGTTCAGGTTTTGTTTGGGAACCAATCAAGTCTTTTCAGTAGGGTCTGCTGTCAAGCATTTCAGGGTTCGAGTTTTTCGCAACCACTCCTCTTTCAGGGTTGAGCGCGTTGCGGAACCAGTCAATACTGTCACGGTTTCGGATTTTACGAACCAGTCGGGTTTTTCCGCGATACAACGGCAATTAGTCATTGCACGCCGTTCGAGAACATACAGAGGCTTTCAGCTTGCAAGACGTGTCCTTTCAGTACATGAAAGCCCCGATGGAATCTTTATTCATGCTGTCACGAGAAGATACGAACGAGTCCTTGCTTGCGTGCGGTGTTTGCCAAGCTTGGCTAGGTGGCTTTGAGCTGGCTGCTCCTCGGAATCAGCGGCAGGGAACTCTTGGCATCTTGGTTCAAACCTTTCCCCTCCCGTGAGAGCTGCTCGAGCTCTGAGAGTAAACATGAGATGTGGATACGCTGAGGAGTAAGATCATGGGCCTCTTATCCAAGGCATCAACAGTCGACACAGTCTACAGTGAGTGTTTCGTCTGCATCCGTGCAGACAGGAGCGTGCAAGTGGACGACTGTGCATCAGCATGCCCATGGATGCCCATGAACAAGTTCGACCATGATGGCTGATATCTCAAGCTGCCAGTTCCTTTTCCTTTTCGTTGCAGGACGTACATATTCTGCAAGCGATCCGTGCAGCAGGAGGCGGGGGTATGTCATGTGATTGCACGCCTGTTTCTTGCATAAAGGTGATTATCCGATGTGTTTCTGCGTCAATTCTGTGTCACGCGTGTTGATCCTTTTTCAACACTTGTCTTCCCAAGCTCGAGGACCTAATCAGACGCGACACATCGCGACACGCATTTCGTGACCGTGTGGCCACCTACAAAGCTAGATCCGGCTAGATTCCTCACCATCGAATCAGCACGCCAACCGGACGCCAGTCGGACTCGCTGGAACGATGCAAGCTGATTGAAGCTTGCACAGAAGTTCGGTTCAAACAGGTGGTTATGCGAACGGCGCTCTGGGAAGCGGTGACCATCATTGTGCAGAGCTCAGAACTGTCCATATTCTCCAGCTAGCCAACACCCTGTATGTTGTTTAAGCTCAAACTTATAACTACGCTTGAACCTGCTCCAGAACGGCACAGGGACCTCCTGGCCAACGCTTAACCGTGGTGGCTTTGCTGATTTTGCAAGGAAGAAAACAGCCTTCCAAAGACAAAAGAACACAATTTCTTGATGATTGGCAAGCCTTCTGCCTGTTTCGCACATGGCTAGGTGGATCCCATACTGAGGGACGCTTTGAAGCTGTTGCAGGTCAGCCAGTGCTTGCTGGTGTCTTCGTCCTGATTATATAATTCGGGCAAAGAGGGAGGGATAGTGAGCGACGACGCGGACTCGACCACCCCCAGAAGAAGCACTGGCTTAGGGCAGAGCGGAGTGGGTTGATGCCCACCAGCTGTAACAGGGGGACCCTGCTTGGCACGCTGCATTTGCTGTCGTGTACTGCTGCTACTGCAATCACAGCGCAGTTGGTGAAGGCACAGAGATGGGCAGAGCATGTGGCTCATGTGATCAATTGGCGGAAATCCAAACCCCGAAGTGGCCGTGGACATCCGTTGCGTGTTGCAGAAGAGCCACTGAAGGGGGTCCGTGCCGCTGAAGCGGACTGGACGACTGATCGGAGTCATGAGTTTTTGAAGCGCCGAATCGGAGCCCCCAGAAAGCCTTCTTGCAGCAGATTTTTTGTGGCGTGTCCAGCAGATCTGCTAAGCTTTTGCTGTGCACAAGAACAGGGGAGTCTTTGAGCATCGCAAGTCATAATTGGAACGTGAGCACATGTCCCGAGCGCGATTGGGAACCTCAGCGGTTGGCAAACGACGGGGTGCTTCAGGCTTCTGCAGTCCCAACAATGGTCGGAAAGAGAAGTGGTAGCGACGTCGAGAAAACGTGTGCGTAGTGTCGACGTAAGGCTGTATACCCAAGGTGCCCTCAGAAGAAGACGAAGCCGATGCCGACAAATATGAAGCTGTTTGCTCAGCTACACCATGCGCTGCTCCGTAGTAGCCTGAAACTTCCTAAGGCTCTTAAGATTGGAGCCTTCATTGACATGGTGAAGAGCTGCAGCTCCCTGGGTGTGTTTGCTGCTTGATGGCATGCCTGTGTGCAGGTGGCAGTGTGTTGTCTCTTCTGCATTAGTCATGTTTCTCGACTCGGGTTGAGCCACAGCAAAGGCAAGAGAACTCGATACAGGCTGGATTCACAGGGCAAGTTTGCAAAGTTGTGTCAGCTTCCTGTGTCCTGCTGTGTTCGAAACGTGCGCAAAGGCCACGACTTGAAAATGACCGTGGAGCGGTGGCCCTTGGTGCAGGCCTCCATGCAGATGAATTATGGTATCTTTCTGCACAAATGAATCATGGAAGCCTCAAATGCAGGTTGTGAGCATCAAGAGTTGATCGTGAGCAGAGTCGTGTGTCTTTTGATTTCCCATGGCTCCGGCAAGTCGGACATTGAAAACCTGAGCCATGACAGATTGAAACAGGGTTTGCGGCATTCTGCGAGGCTTTTGGATTCGACGACTACGGCCATGGATTCTTGACGCTTGGATCTGCTTGGTGATGTCCAGCTGATCAGATCAAGGTCCGCAGATGTATTTATTGTATTGCCTGTCGCGCGACATATTCAACATGCACTAGGACAAGAATCTCAAGTTTTCACATGTTTTGGTGTAACGAGACAAGACACAGTTGCTGTTACTGCTGGATCAAGATTCTGTGGCAGTTAGAGTCAGAGCAGTTAGAGCCAGTTAGAGCGGTATTTGTAGCGCTTGTTTCGCTACCTGAGAGTAAGGACTTTGCGCCGGCATGTGGTAAACTTGGAGGCGACAGGGCTGTCGAGAAGTGCAGCGTGCTGATATCGCAAGAGGACTAGAGCAGGGCAAAGCTGTTCTTGTTTCAATAGTCAGGCTGAGTACGTTGAATTGTCAGGCAGATTTCCAGCGAAAGATCTTGGCCGCTTGGGATCTCCAATCCATGCTCTGGGCTGGGACCTCTGTAACAAATCGGTGCGAATGGACCGGCCGAAAGCCAGATCCTCCTTCAGCAGAGCCGGATGCTTCGAACGAGCCGAAAAGTTGACACAATCGATGTTGCTGTTTGCAGGCACGAAGCCTGGTCTCAAAGCTGCAGAAAGCCTGGGAGGCTTTGACGGTTCTGATCGGGCTTTGTTGCGGGCTTGATCACCGGAAGCCTGCAGCCACGGTTTGTCTGCACAGGACGCGTTGCTCTGCTATGACGCTCATGCAGGAAAAGACTTCCTGGTGAATCCGGCAGGATTTGAATGTGTATGTGCGTCAACTGCACTGGTGCTTTTCTTGCTTTGTCTTCGGTAATCTTTTGTGCAAGTCAAGTGTTGCCGGTTGACATCACTTTTCTAGGCATCGGGGTTGTGATTGTTCCGCTCCAGTTGTCACATAGTGTTTCTGACTCTGCACTGTCCCTGATTTTATCGTGACCTCTTTCACTGCTATCGGCCAAACTGTGCGGAGATGGGTGTGGCAAGCAATTTCGGTGGTAGTTGTCAAGATTTGTTGTATTTATGGCTTTAGTATCGATTCTGTTCTTGTGTTAGGTGTGTCTGTCTGACACCGACTGCTGCATGGCTTTCTTTATTGTTCCCGTGTTGGTTCTCAAAACTGTCTCATGTAGATCTATCATCTGTAATTACGTCCTCGGGCCGGCCAACGTTTTTGAACTCCGGTTCTGAGCTGCTGGCTTTCTGATGGTTTTCGTTCGGCTGTTCTCCTTGTGGATTATGATTGTCAGTGTGTGCTGTGGTGTGGTGGTTTTCTTCTTCTGTGTTTATGACTCCTTTTGTTCTTGCCTTCTGCGCGGCTCGGATTGTTGCGATGGTGAGACTGGCGTGATGCAGGAACCAGGAACATAATGTCGAAAACACAAGGACCCGTGTGTGCACTAGTAGTTACTAGTGTTTGCGGTTGGTGCGGGTAGGGAAGAGCACCGACAGTTTCTCCCACAGGACGTCCCTGTACGGTGTTGGTGCAGCTTGTAGTGCCTTGTCGCTTGTGTGCATAGCTGCCGCACCCTATTGCAAAAAGCTTTCTGTTGCTGGTATGCAGCTCTATTATTGCAGGCCTGGGAGAGTGCACCCGGTGTGCAGCTGCACGGCCCTTCGGTTGGTTGCGACTGACACATGTTCCTCGTCCTCATCGACGCCGCCGCCTCCGCCCGCGCTGCGGTGTCAGTCGCGCGGAGCTACATTTTCCCGTGCGCGGTCGCACTCCGAGGCTGCTGTCGCAGCACGGAGAGACGGTCTCCGATTTCAACTCTTGTTTTCCTGATTTCCCGCGTGAGACGTCACTGCGTTCGTTCATAGCGTCTGCATCGACCATTCTTCAGCCAGGCATCCGATCCTTCCTTTCTCGGATTCCAGCAAGATGAGATGGTAAATGTACCGTGGCATTCACGTTTTCCGCTTCACTGGCTTCCTCTCGCTTTGACGGTTTCCTCCTAACTGAGCCTGAGCTTGGTGCTTGATTATACGATTAATTAGAATTTGGGCTGTTTCCCCGGCGGGTTCCAGCTGCAAGTTCCCGGGTCACTGCTTTGCTGGGGGGAGCTGCCGCTGCTTCTCTACACAGTGCTCCGGTAGAAGGCTAAATGGTCTGTGAGTCGCGGCATCGGATCAGTTCGAACTGCACTCCCCACTGCTTACTTGCTAGTGAGCTGCCAGTGAATAACGTCAAAACATCGTTCCGGATCGTGATCAGGGACATTTGTGTCCATCGACGATTGACAACGGCACGCCGTCTCTGTCCCTATTCACCGGGGAGGGGGTGCACTCCCGAGCTTCTAGTAGACCAGACCAGACCAGACCGCCACATGATCAACGTAGATGTTGAGAGCATGTGCCGACCAAACAGCAGGCTAAAGGGTTGGGTTCTTTGGTTTCTTGGTCGGACTTCTTCAAACTTGCATTCATTCACCGTTGCGTGCTCGCCTCAGAAGCATTTCAGCAATTCAGCCCCCTCGCACAAAAGGTCAAATACAATCTTCTTCGTCAGTTTTCCCTGCCATCCTGATGCTCTGGAGCTCATAATCTTGTCGTCGTTGTAGCATGCAAGGATCTTATCGCACAATCCGGTAAACGCAGAGGCGGTAGTATCCGACATTGGCCATCTATCGACGACGGTACCCTGCCGGCACATTTCCTCTGGCTTTTTCCTGAGGATTTGCCGCCCAAAGCCCAAGCGCGCGGTATCGACTGTCGTGCACCGGCCATCCCTAAAAAGCGGGGGTTTGCTCGTTGTTCATTTTAATTAATGTCGAACGAAGATCCGGCCTGTCAGCCAGTTTTGTGTTTGTTTTCCACGGAGCAGCTCTCCGCTGAGTGCTGTCTTCCTTGAGCCTCTGTCCTCGTTGGTTGCTTTCCGGCAATGGTCAAAGAACATCGGGTTTATTGTACACTACCAACACTGCTTCTTGCAAGATGCGCCCATCTTCTGATTTTTTCTGCGATGGACAAGGTTGGTAGCAGCACAAACAAGCTTAAGGCTAAGGTTCGGTGAGAAAACAAATTATGACGTAAAGTGTGCATGTTGCGTAGTGAAGCCACCTACATGAACTGTTGCAGGCTGTCAGTCCTTTGCTGGACTATTTCTTGTATGGGCGCTTATCCATGACTGATGAAGATGTGGTGGCTCTGCGAGAAGGCGGTTCTGGCACGTTTAGTGAGAACACTGGAGTTGAAGATGACTCATTCTTTGGCAGGACAGACAGGAGCTCCGGCTTTGCAATTAAATCCGGCCTCTGCCTTAGACAGCGCATGTTTAGTGCCGATTGCTGCAGAACCAGGCCCCGCGGGTCCTCTTCGGTGTGGAGCATCAAGCTCAGTCTGACCACGCCTTCAACCAATTCTTTTCCACTTCCACCACTGCGCGGATACCCCTTCTTTGTGGATTCCAGTGGGTGCGAGTTCATGTTGTCTTGTCGTCGATTAAAGAGACGGTGCAGGCTGCCTCGCCTTGGCTACAAAGAATTTGAGCTGTTGTGCCCAGGTCCGACAAGATTGTCCTTGGAATAATCCCTACCGGAGACGAGCCGCTTGAGCCTCAACTTAGTTGTACTGAAGAGCCTCGACCTTGTATCGCTGCGATAGGCCTCAGCATGTTGCACCGGACGCGCAGCACATGATCTGGGAGGCAGGATCCTCGCGTGGTGCAGATTCCGGCTTGTGTTTTGATTGTGTCAGGGTGTCGATCCTGTCACCGGCATTGCTGCCACGCGCACGTACCTCCTCAACACGCCGTTTGAGCAAGGTGACGCAGAGTTCTCGGGGTTGTGCCCCATGTCAATCATGTGGTCATGTTTAGAAGAAGATGCAGGCCGAAAATGTAGTCGACACCTGCCGGTGTGTTTTGACCTTCGTGAGGTGCTTCGCCGGTGACCAGTGCCAAGACCAGGGCTTTATGTCGTGCATATGTGACAGTCTTAGCAGTGCCTCAGTGATGTTCTCGCAAGACGCCCCGGTCCTGCTGACCTGGCAGCAGCCACTTCTGCAGCTCTAGCTTTGACTTGCATTGCTTCAGGGTGGATACAAGTGGTAAAAGCATGATACCTGCTGACTATACCTGCTAACTTCTAAGATAAGCAATCACCATGGCCATGCAGACTGGCCGACCGTACGTCCCGAGCGGACTCCAGCTGCGCCAGTCGCCTGTGCTTTCCAGCAGGTTCCACGTCGGTTCCCCTTGCAGCCTTAGCAGAGGTATTGCAAGAAAGCGCTTGGACTTCTTGAGCTCTGAGCATCTCAGAACTGCCAGGCGGCATTGTGTTTTTCAAGCATGCGGGCACCTGCACCCAGCCTTCATCGCAGCGGGTATCGGTGCTGTGAGCTCAAGGCGCTTCAGTCCTGAACGGAAAGCAGCCAAAGGTTTGTCAACGAAGCCAGACGTTGCAGGCGGCGATTGCCAGACACAAGACGACAGCAAACGAAGGTAAGAGCAGAGGAAAGCAGCTCGGAGTGAGATGCTCAATGGGAAAGCTCTATGCGAAGCACGTGCATGTTCATCTTTAGCTTTTGGTCTTGTTAAGGTCCGTGCCAACACAGCTGATTCCGGACGAGTTTTTTGATGAGCCTCAGGCCAGTGCGACATGACAGATTGTATTTGTATTGTCTTAAGGAATTTCGGAGGTTCAGATTTGGTATGAGTGCGCGCTTAAGCGCGAGTCTGGTGCCATTCTGACGTGTTGTACGACTTCACCGGTCCAATTGGCTTGGGTCGCTACTTGCGCATTGCAAGTGTAAGAATGCAAATCAAGGCAATCAACCAGTCCCTCAGCCACCGCCAAGCCAATCAGTCAGTGTTTCAGTTAGTCATTAGTCCGTTCAGTATTGCTCGTTTATTTCAACATGTGGAGAAAGCTTTTCATTCAGTTTCCGTCGCAAGCTTGACGTTTTCGGCATCAGGGTCATTAACTAGGATGTTCCAGTTTAGTTGTGTAACGGAGCTGAATTTCATAACGACTGCGTTTCGTTGGACTACCAAGGTGGAGACATTTCAATCCTGCTTGATGCAATGTCCAGCTCTGCGCCGAAAGGCGGGTGCACTCAAATGCATGATTTCGGATTCCGCCCATCTCAAGATCAAATTTCGGACAGGGTCAATTTTGCATCAATTCCCACACTGCAGGGCACGGCTTCCCACTTGCGAACTCAGCTTCTCCTGAGGTGCAAGAGGAACTCGCGTACGAGCTTGAGGATGATGTCTGGGAAAGCCTTAAAGCCAGGCTGAGGCAGACGGTCCTGCAGTTCCGGGTAGGCGTCAAATACAAGGGATCAATAACAATGAGACAATAAAAAGCCTCATGAAGGTGATTATTATCATTACGATTGTTACGCTTATTTCCATTACTACTTGTACGATGATTACATTGCAACAAGTAGCACTATTGTTCCCATGTATTATTACTGTTATTACCACTACGACAACGACTACTACTACTGCTGCTACTGCTTCCACTGCTACTATTGCTACTACTGCTGCTACTGCTACTAGGCCTCTTGGCTCCCAGCTGAGGGATGATTTTGACTGGAAACTCTGAGGCCCTTCTTCTGAACGTAAGCTCGCTAGCTGGCCGAAACACCCCAAGCATAACACAGCTGTAGGCTGCAGGATGGCGACAAATAGCACATCTCACCTCAGATCTACCGTGTGGCTCATCTGTGCCTTGTGCTCCGCTTCCCACGGAGACCTTACCTGGTCAGAGCGAGAATAGCACTCATGCAATACAAGCTCGGCAAACTGCGGTCAAGACACTGTTGCAAACCTCCTCAAGCCAGTGCCGGTATGCCCATGCATAGCGCTTTTGGGTCACAGGAGCCTGACAGTGGTCCTTAGCACGCAACTACATGGCTCCCAGACACTGGTGCTCCTGCGAAATACAGGGTCGGGGAACGAGCCCACAGCCCCGAAAGCTTTCCCGCCGGCTCTCCACCTCGTGGCCCACCTCCGCCGATCGGCCTATGGTTTGGTGGGTGTGGTGGACAATGCCTCCAGAGCCGGTTGCACCGACGATGCCCCTCCTGCAGCGCTGTCAAACCAGAACAAAGGCCGGACTAGACTGTCCAACCGGTGACCTCTGCAATGCGTCAGTCCACAAAAGATGGACCAAGCTCCAGGACCATGCAGTTGAAATGTTGGACCGACTGACGCCCAAACCCATAGGCTCACAAACTGTCTGGTCCTCTGAGCAGCCTGCACGAGTCCACCTACTTCCCATCGAGTCTCAGGAACCTGCATGGTCTGCGGAGTGTACTTTGCCGCCACTATCCACCACTATCCACCACTGCTGACATGAGAGAACCTTGAGGCCAAAAGCATAAATCGGAGACCCCTGGCACACAATGCAGACAAAGTGCATGACCGTTGTGCAAAGCTGCACCCGGCGCCCGTCTCGTCCAAGGAACGGATGCACCCCCGGAAAACCCGAATGAACCAACTGATTCCTGTAACCCGCCTAGCAGTGATTTTCCTACTGTACCTACCGCCCCAACTGTACCACCTGAACTGCCAGCCAGCATCGGACGCCGACGTTGTCGATTTTCAGTTGGCCCAGCCTGATTGATCCCGAATTGCTCATCCTTGCTGCAGACCCAGACTGGCAGCCTCCGGCTGCAAAATTCGTCGGGGTGATCAGAATCACTGCCTCATTTGCAATCAGTGGATAGCGTGCCCCAGCTACTTCACCAGGCATCTTCGTAAGCAGCATCCTAGAGAATTCTCGCTTCATGCGCGAGTGCAAAATTGGCTCGGAGAGATCCACGACCCTCGGCAGTCCCTGCTCCGACTGTCACGTCGACTTAAAGCAAGTAAAACAAGCCGTCTCAGACACACGTTAGCCTGCCCCCCACTCTGTGTCGGGTAGGCCTGCTCATCCACGTTGTGCGCAACCCACCCCAGGCCCCCCTGAGCCTGACTGCGGACCAGCAGAAAGAGCTGGCCAGTGCGGAGGACCAAGCAGGGCTGATGATGGGCGCTCTGCTGCAGCAGCAAACGAGGCACCTCAGAGGGGAGAGAAAGGGGGGCTATGGAGGTGGCTGGTTCGCGGCCAGAGGAGCAAAAGCTGGGAGAACAAGAACCAAGAGTATCAGTCTCGGGACACAATAGTTTCAGTTGGTTGCAGATCTTTACCAGGTGGCTCAGGTATGGAACAAGGGAAAGGGGAGGCCAGGACATCAGCAACCTCCTCCTTCGGGTGGTCATGCTGAAGCACATCCTCGACCTCCTTGTCAATCGACTGAAGGCACTCCAGCTACAGGAGGCCCAAGCCATGCTGATCCTGGACGAAGACCGCAACATCCCCTACCGCGTGGAACTCGATCGAGAAAGCCCTTCAGGTGAAGAAGGATCGCGATCCGCTCCCGCTGGTAGAGGCCCAGTGCATATTGGCGGACTTCCAGAAGTTGATCCTCCTGCTTGTTGTGATGAGGTTTCACTCCACTCGCATGGTGAAGGAACACAAGGGGGAGGTCCGATACCCATTATGCTTCAGCTGGGATTCAGAACGCCGGAATACGCCGGAAGCGCAAGTAACCCGACTGGCTCGGAAGGTTTGTGCCATGACGTTCCAAGCCGAGAAAATATGGGTGCTTTGACAGTCTTCCAAACTTGGTGCATGTCTCCAACCTGAGCTGCTTGCTGGGCCTGGCCTGGTTCAGGAGTTCAGGTCGTCGGAGCTTGCTTCTGGCCAGTGATCGCTCTTTATGAAGCCTATGTGCACGGCTAAAGGCAGCCCAGTCCTTCCAAGCGCTAAAGACCCCTCTGTAACTTTGTGAAGCCGCATTCTCCTAAACACCCCACATTTCCCGAGCACAATTGGAAAGCCTGGACAGCCTTCCAGAGATGTTCGTCAAGTTGGGGAAGATTGTCACACGAGTGATGCTGTGCTCGCTCCTTCAGCTCCATCAAAGCCGAGCTGGGTGTGGCCGACCGGAGATCAGCGATCAGTGCCTCCGTGTCGATCCGTGGGATTGGCTTTTCCGTTGAGGACCGCCGCAGACGAAAAGGGAGCCGTATGTGTGCAAAGATTGGGTGGTGAACAGCACTGTTTGGATCCCTCCAGCATACAACCGGGAACTCCTTCATTACCCCTGCTTGTCTGGCAACACGAGTGGCCTGAGCCCAGCTTTGTAATGATGAAATCGATCTGTGAGGTCAGCCTGCCAAAAGTGAAGGTTGCAAGCTGACTATGCGTTGGCTTGGACTAGGAGTTCAGGATGCAGAGTGAGAAAGTCGTCACAATACCTGCATGAGCTCGGTGCCGTCCGACTGGTGGGCCTCGCCGACCGGGAGTGTCCAGTCTCCACAGACGCCTTTGGAGTCACTGAGCACTGACTATTAAAGTCGGGCTTGTCGTTCAATGCAAACTGATAGCAGTTTATGACATCCAGCGGTGTAGTACGGGAGTGTACCCGAACACGGAGGAGACGACCCGGATGGATATCGACATATTGCAAGTCTGAGTTTTGCGCCAGGCGAGCAGCGATGACCTTGAGGACGCCCCCCACCTTGTCGTGCTTGCCGACTCCTGCAGAATGCACATAGTGGGACCCTCTGGCCGACCACTGCATGTCCTGAGTCCATTTCGTTTCCTGGACCAGTACCAGGTCCAGCGCCGTAACCCTTATGAAAATTGTTGAGACACTTGTGAGCGTAACCCGCCCGCGTTCCACTTGAGCGTCTTGATCGCACCTTCAGTCTGCATCGGTGCTGGAGTCCTGGGCAGCTTCTTAGCATTGACTGAAACAGGCTGGAACCAGCGATGCTCACGCCAGCGTCCTCGAAAGAAAGCCCCGCCGAACTTGCAAGCCTTGCCGTATGCTCTTTGATATGATCGCTTGCCTCTACGTGTGAAGTCGTATGAACAAGATGCGCTGGCCTCCTGTACTCCGCCTTGCTTCACCACTCGGAGAGTGGGTCTCAGGTGGCCCCGACGGAATTGCTGCCAACCCTCGCATCGCCAGCCCCGGCTTCCACTGTATGTACCATGCTAAGCACCAACAGCACAATGAGGAAGCTTGAAAACGAGAGCCCGAGCTGGGACAGGACGCTCCCGATGTGTTCATAATGCCACGAAGCTTGTGGATCAGATCTGAAAAGTTTATGTCTGAAACGCTGCCTGCTCCAATGTTGATTGCATCGTTGGCCTCCCAAGAAGCTTGTCACAGACAGTGTGTTCCAGAATTGCTCACACCTGGTTAATGTTTGTAAGGGTCCCGCCGTGGTAGTCAGAAGCCAGGAGGTACAGTGCCTGGATATCAGAGTGGTTGTGAGTGCAGTTTTCATCCTCATATGCAGGCAAGCTCCCAGGCGTTGAACCACGAAAGGATTTCCACGTCTCCCGAGGAATTCTCCAACATGCACTTTCCGAGTGTTGACAGGAAGTGCCCCCCTGCAGTAGGTCGACTGCACAACTCGCGAGCATCATCGTGTTTGCATTGGGCGCCCAAACATTGTCATCGTCGGCTCCAAAAAACCATCTTTCCGTAGATCTATCCATAACGCCAGCAAGTGAAGTGCGCGCCACTCCATGAAAAAGACTCCAGACAGAAAGGCTTCCGAAATTCGAAAACACGGCACCAGAGTCTACTGCCGGCCGTGGCAAAATTTGGGTTGGAACACCAGGCCTCCTAGAAATCTTACGTTGAAGAGGAACCCCAGGAGTTTTCCGCGGCGCTGCCGCATCACCCGTGTCAGCCCAGATGCTTGTAGTAGTAGTAGTAGTAGTAGTAGTAGTAGTACTACTACTACTACTACTACCACTACGACGACTAGTACTTCTATTAGCACTGCACTGCTGCTGCTATTATTACCGTTGCTGCTACGACGACGCCAGCAACAAGTACCATGACTGCCGCTACTCCCATTCAGACTTGTCAACGTGTTGACATGGCGCAAGTTTACTTGACCTTGGAGCTTTTGGGAACTTAGAACTGCTGCAATTCACCTGTTTTGGAGTGTGGGAATAGCCAACGCTGCAGTAGTTCATAATATATGCTAGCCTGTCAGCAGCCAGAAATGGTGGAAATGAAGTAACTAACAGCATTTGAAGCTTTTCAGCGGTAGCATATGCTGCAACTCACATTGACTGCAAGACAAAAGATTTGCTGGGCCTGGTTATTTTTGGTATTTTTTGTTTTAGTCGATCTGTATTATTGGGCATGTTTATTTGGCTTTTGAGCCTGTTAGTTTTTTCAGCAGCTCAGCAGTTCCTGGTTCCTCGTTGTTTATGAAGGCCTTGGAAAGCTTGACATGTTTGCATCGACATGTTGAGAGTTGAGATGCACCGGGACAACCAGGCGACAACTGTGTTCGGTTCACCGGAGGAAACGACATCAAGAACGATGATTTCGTGAGACGTCACGGAGTAGAGTCTCCAGCAAGTCAAAACATTCTGAGGTTTTCAGGCCTTTTGCACTGTGTGGTGAGGCATAGATTGCAGTGCTGTGTGAAATGCGAATAGCAGTGGGCACGACCACGAATCACTCGTGTCTTTTCTAGGTTGCGTTGGCCCTGCGCAAATGTCGGAGGCCGGAGATCATGGATGTTTTGAAGGCAGGCCAAGCAGACCGACAGGTCTCGGATGTTTTGGTTTAGGCTTGAAGTGCTTTGCAGGACGAGCTGGAAGAAGAAGTAAGACAAGATTTGCAGAAGGAGCTCAGCGTCGAGCTGGGTATTGAGGCGGGGGGGGGATTCGGCTGCAGGTACTGAGACTGGGTGTTGAGAATCACTGTCCAGCAAACCGTGTCAGGTCGATGTCGACGAGGTTGATCCAGGCCGGCTTTCCAGCCAACAGCTGCCTTGCAGGCCAATCAATGTGTGAGCCAGATTCTATTCTGCTTTCATTTTCCGTGTGCTTGACAGATGAGCCCGGCGTCGATGAGGATGAAGAGGATGCCTGCGACGATGACGATGAGGCGCTCGTGACGTGCACTTGAGATTTTGTGTTGGGCAACTGCGTGGCCAGTGTCAGGCGCATGACGAGGACCGCCCGTCGGAAATGAAGCGCTTTCAAGACTCCACTTATTGTGGGGCAGCCTCTCCCCACCGATTGCTCGGAATGCACCAATGGCAGAAGCTTACAGCAAAAACTTGGGCGCCCCAGCACCCAGAAGCAGATCAGATGCACGACCGCATCGGCGGCTATGGGCAGGGACAGGAAATGCATGCATGGGAGAATGAAGGGAAAGGTGCGCAGCGGATATCAAAGGCAACCGAGTCACCAGTCCGAACTCATGGCAGCTGCTAGCACAGGATATCGACATTTCAGATTGGAGATGCGACTGCTGTCTACTGCATGCAGAGAGCCTTCGAAGTAAGGACAACTGTACCCACAAATTGTCTTATTCACATGCCAGTTTGACAGGTTTTTGCAAGCTGATTTGGACTACGGTCGATGGCCGATGTCACTGTTCAAGACCGCCTGGCATTTGATAGAATGGTAAAGTATCAGTGCTAGTCTATCCATTGTGTCGGGTAATGAAACTTGGCCGGTACTTTCTCGGGTTAGGAGTGCAGGCATAGAACGTCCTCCTATCTGAAGTTTAAGGCAGAAAGTGTCTTAAGTGCAAAAGTGTCCTGCTCCTTGGCCGGGCCACTGACGCGCACCTGGAAAACCTCGTCCGCTTTGCTGCTTTTGGGGCTTCTTTTTCCTACAGGCTAGGACGAGCCAGCATAGTGGTCCCTAGGTTTCCAGGCACCACTAATTACACTTCCGACATTACCCAACAGGGGCAACCTTCAGAAGTGCCGAGGGTTTGGAAGATTCTAGCTGCGACTCTCACACCTGGCGCTGGCAGGCGCTGGTGCAACGACTGAGGACGTCAGAGTAAAGCCATCTGCCGCTAGCACAGCACGACTCCACTGCGCTATCCCGACTTTGCAGGCAAACCAACCAGAAAAGTTGTCACACTCAAAAAATATCTGGGCCTCGATTGGCCCGGGAGTTTCCAGAAAGCGATAAGATCAAATGTGTGCAGCCGAAGTTCATCGCCTTCTCCTGGCGCTCGTGTGGCAAGGCTGTTATAAGTCGGAGATAATTTACCAGACAGCAACGCCTGAGTGGCTCGCACATACCCCAAGCCCGAGAGCTGCTGGACAAGCACGATGCCAAAGGCACCCCTTCACTCTGCGAATGTCATTTGATATTTTGAATCTACATCATCCGTGGGCATATGCATCAGGAGGTGAAGGAAGTAGAATCGGCAGCCGCAAGCGCTTGCAGACACGCACCATGCGTTGTTTCCAGAGGGTCGTTCAGGAGACTGCAGCTCATGCTTCTGCAGCGATCGCGGAGATTTGGAGCCTCGTCCTGCACTACGAAGACAGAGTGCAGGGTACTCAACCAAGCCATGTCGGCAGTCCAGGTCGCAGTATGACGGGCTGCCCACCGAGATTCGACAAGAAATCCAAGAAGAGGTCGAAAAACGATTGAGGACCTTTTGCACCCTCTTTGTGTAGGAGCATAAACAATCTGCATACCTTGCAGGAGAGACCTGAAGCCGGAAGTGATCCAGGATTCGCTGCACTGACTTGCAACTGTAAGTCGTTCATGTCGTTCGCACTTCCATATCACGGTGATCGGTATGATGTTTGAACAGGGGTCTGAGGCCAATTGATGCGCTGATTTGTGTATACATACGAACATAAAGATTAACAGTCCTTCAGTGTGTCTTCGGTCCTGGCAAGTCGAAGGTCTCCGAAGATGCTCTAACTCTAAACCTGGATCCTCCTCCCCGATGCGTTGAAATTAGAACTTTGGAGTCGCGTCACTCATCCTATCCTGTCTCTCTTGCCAAGTGCCTCCTATCGCCCTCTTCAATCTGTTGAAATCCGACGGAGATGTCTTACCTAGAAGGAGCTCTCGCCTCAATGTCTGAATCAAATCGTCGGTATTCTTGGAATGGGTCTGTGTACCTGCAGGCAGTGTCATTGCGAGGTCGCTAGATGGAAGCCTGACTAGTCTAACAGTGTCCTCTCGGAACATGGCTCGACGCCTGGGCTGGTGGACGTCGACTGCGGAGAGGATCACCTGCAAACAACTGCAAAACGTCCCATGTGACATCCACATGCCATGGCCTGTGACATCTCTAAATCATCTCTGAGCCAAGCCCTACACCCGAAACGGCGACGGGAAGCCCAAACTCAAATCCCAAACATCGAATTCTCGAGACCGGAGACCCGAAACTTCAGGCAGATAGGGAGATGTCAGAATTTGAGGCTTCCAGCGTTGGCTTTGGGAGGACCTTCAAACTGAGCTCGAGGAGGAAGCTCAGGAGGCCTTGATGGAGGAGCTCGAGGCGAGCTCGCCGATGCAAGAACCGTTGCCAAGCTGCACCGGGCGAAAGAGCCTGAGCGCGATCAGTGCCAGGACGAGGCACGCTTCGAGCTTCGCGAAGAGCTGGAGGAGGATATCGTGCTTTCTGCAGGTTGTACGCTAGGTGACAAACGCATGTCAGCCAGGAAGTGCGCAACGACCTCCTTTGGGATGGTTGATTCTGGCACGTGATCGGAGAAAAGTGTTGCTTCACAAGATCTCATGCACAAGCTCTGCATGACGACGAAGTATATCAACACGACCGAGGCAGCTGCAACACACTGCTGTCGGGAGATTCTGCAGAGCAGGCCTAGTGCCGGGATCCCAGTGGAGGGGAGGGGAATGTTCGTCAGCTTTGAAGCCTTCAGCTGGACCGTGGCATGCAAGGACCTGAGTTGCACGTCCAGTGACAGAGACAGGACTCTCAGGCTTCCTCCCAGGGCATTGAATTGGAAAGGTCAATAATTCAGTTTTCCTGCTCTTAACACTACGCCGCCCTCCTCGGCCTGACAAGCGGCAGCATGTGTCTGTGAGTCTTCAGCTCAGGGACTGAGTCTCGAAATTGGACCCAAAAGCGCACTTTTGGGCTGCATGGAGGTGGATTGGTGGTGGGTGCTAAGAGTCGGATTCATGTTGCTTGTGTGTGTGTGTGTGTGTTCAACTGTTTGGGACAGCCCATGCGAGCCAAGAAGGTTGACTGGTTAGAAGCAGTACCAGTACTGTACCTGAGTCATTCTAACGGAGCAACACTGTGACACAACCCACTCTGTGTCAAGGGGGGGAGGGGAGGGAAGCGTGGGGGAGCAGAAAACTGTCGGAAAAGGACCAGGCTGGACATTGTGGGCCAAAAGCGGATGTCACGAAACTTTGCGGCTGCAGGGAGGAGGAATAGGTGGAGGTTGCTGAGTTTAACCCCCAAGACGCCTGAGGCCCGTGGCCTCGGTGCTTATTCAGGTCTGCACATGTTTCTGAACTGTGCATTGCAGTCGACCTTGCATCACGGCCTAAAGGGATAAGGATACTTCTTTCATGGGGAGGTGAGATGATTTCATGACCCAACCCACTTGAGAAACGTGGGAACCCTCATTCCTGTCTTGGCACTCCACGCTAGCGTTCTTTGCCTGAAGCTGCTGACGACATGACAGGCACAAGATCGAGGAGATACTGCGTTCATCTTTCACCGATGTGAGCGGAAGGAGCGACTGCATGGGGCTGATGGACTCCCCCCGCCAATATGTTTCCTGAGGCCAGACGTGTACTGCAGGGAAGTTGACGGCATGGGTATGGTGCTGAGGGGGTCTCGGCTTGTGTTCTGGCCTCACCCTACTGTAGTGTGTGATAGTGTGTGTTGGCCTTTTACCGAGGCTTGCCGATGCAAGCAAATCAGACTGAAGTGCCCTCTGCAAGCTTACTTTACACTTGCCCCGCCGCTGTATGCGGATGACAGGTGAGGTCGACCTACATTGCTTTGCTCTTCGTCCGGGTGAGCATCGTAGGCGGCTTCCCTGCTTTCCAGCAGCACGGGTGGCAGATGTCATGGTTGCTTAAGCCTGCCAACAAGAACCGTTGCTCACCAGCATGCTCGGGCCAAGAGTTGTCAAGAAACCAGATGGCGGAATCATGTGCAACCGAAATCTCATACAGCACTCTAGAGTCCGAGGTTGCCCCATGCCCAAGAGAAGCAAACAGTTCGATTTTGTAGCATACTTCAGGGTTTCAATGTGACAGCTGCTTGAAAGTTCTGCTGGGCAATGTCGGTTGGGAGGAAGACATCTGTGGTCTGAGCTCTGAATGCCAGCCTGATTTGCTTTCGCCTGATACGCGGGGTAGAGGCCACAGGGGGAGGTACGGATGTGCCTGCGAAATCCTGCGAAGATCGCGAAGCATCAAAGTGCAAAAAGTTCGACGTGCCTCTTGACAGTGTGTTGCGGTTTAGGAACGCCCTGTAGCAGCACGACCCCTTGCAGGCGTTTCTGAGGGCAACACTCCTCTTGGCGCTGTTTCTTACGGCGATTCCATCTTTCTGACGAGTCTGAATCTCAGAAATAAATGCACTCGCAAGCCACAGGCCGGCCACTTTAGCAGCATAGCAGCACACTGCCAGCACACTGCCTCCAGGAGACAGGACCACCCTCGAAGCAGCGACTGTTCCTTTGTTGGCGCGTGCCATACGACATGGTGTGATGTCAATCCGTTTTGTGAGCCGCTTGCTGTGTAGTGTGATAAGGCTTCTGTACCGTCTTTGGCCTTCTGGAAAGGGCCTTCAGACGAAGAGCGTTCGAAGCATGCCGCCAGCTTGGGTAGATCGTCAAAGCACGTTCCACAAACAGAGGGAAGCTGTTGAACATCAGGTCAGGACTGGCCTGGAGACTGCCATGGGGGTCGGTTCAGATCTTGTTTGAAACAGAACTCTGGAGCACATCACTCCGAGGGACTGCTGCACTCAGTGCACTTAGGCCTGGATTGGGGACGTTCTGTGGCGCTTGGCCATTCCGGCATGCTTGCGGGGTACGACTGTCAAGAGTATGCGTTTGAAACAGCTCCAGGTCATCGCAAAGATGTTCGCGTGACCAGAACCGAGCTGATAGGAGAGTCGAGGGCTTCAGACTGCACATCGCACCGATTTCGGAGGTATACCTGGAGCCGCCAGAACAACCGCCAGATCCACTTCAGTCGCGGTCCCAAGTTGCTTGAGGTCATTGTAGCAGGTTGCAGCTGCTGCAGCTTCTTCTTGCAAGACCTGCCACCACGAGGCTCGGGGAGGACAGCCTGGACGTTGCTGCAGCGTGTCAACTGGCCACCGGCTTCTGTACCGGTGAAAACACTGGGTCGGGCTCTTATGACGCTGCCAAAACCCGTCGACCTCACTTCTTGAATCTTCCGGGTGCGCTCTCCGCGCCAAATCGCAGACAATTGGAGGTTAAAGATCTTCCGGCACCAGAGGAAAGGTTTGAAGGCTTTAGGTCAAGGTTTTAGCAGCTTGGGCGGCCGTGATATGATGTTGGTGTTGAAGGAAGTGTTGTGGATGCTTGTTTTAGCACCCTACCTTGCCAAACAAAGCAAGGAGCACAACATGCACATGGCCGCACGCAGCCAACTTGCGTGTACTAGTTTTCAGCATGTCGTTGGTCTCAGTGAATGATCTGAATGGTGACTGCATGGCCGCCCATGATTGTTAAAGGTTGGCCGCGCATGATTGGTGTATGTTGTGTTCCCTTAATTGTGCCGTGCGCTCCTGCTTGTTTTATTGAAAGAAGAAGAATGCTTAAAGTCTTAAAGCGCTAGTTTTGGGTTGCAACCAAGGTTGTCAACTTTGACTGGGACTTTCGACCAACATTATCCTACGTGAGCATGCGGGTGGAAAGAATGGACCTGCAAGAACTGCTCGAGAGGGGAACAGCAGAAGAACAACAAGTGCGGGCCTCTCACAAGCGTCTCCCGCACACCAGTCCGCCAATGCTGGGTATTGTCGTTTCCGATCATTTCCTGAAGTGACAGGAGAAAGCAACAAACATAAATTTTGCGGAGCGCGTTCATGACCAGGTCTGTGCTTGGCTTGGCCACAGGAAGCTGCTGGACGTATGCATCTGGCAAGGTGCGAACATGAGCTTCGGGGTTTGTGCCGGTGCTGTGCAGATTTCTACGCAAGTTCAATCAGGCACATGTTTGGTCAGGTTGTTGTTGTCACACCTCGAACGGGGCATGTGCTACTGAAGGCCCCGCCATCAGCGATGTGCGATGTATTTCTGTGTCTCCGCTCTCTGAAGATATGTGGCGCTGGCGACGGCATCCTGCCTGCTGTCAATGCGGCAGATGGCAAGGTCTCCGTTCCCAGCATCACGACAGCTTACTGTAGTTCGTGCTCCTAGCTCACTGCCAGGCATCAACAGTACGTGAGAGTTCTTTTGCTCGAACTGAAGACTATTAGGATATCACGTGAATGCCTGAAATGTCTTCAACAAAACTCGCCGCCCTTTTGAGCTCTCCCTTCCCAGTCAACCGAATGATGTTCAGGGGGCGGTGATGTGCCGCAGCTTCGCCAATAAGCCGTCTTTTCTGGGCAAGATATATACAAATTCTTGCAGGCAGCCGGACGGTTGGCCGGCAGTTATGGTCGATGGTCTTTCGTCTGGCAATTGGCTGTCTGAGCTGAAGGTGTGGGTTGCAGCTGCTGAGGTGGGTGATGTAGGCACTTAGATGCGAAGTGCACACGTTCTCTACATGCCGCCAGCTTGAGAAGGCTGGCGAGCCGACCTTGGACACCTCGGGCATGAAGATCGCAATAACGACAAGTCCTTGTCCCGGCACTACCTTGAGGATCCTTCTGACGGAAGCCGCGATTGTCAGGCGCTCAGCTGCTGAAGCTGTCCCTGCAGAGGTCCTGAGACACTCTCTGTGTGGCGCCAGTCGCTGAAGGGCCAGGCCAAGAGACTCAGAAAGCTTTTTCTCTTCTTGTCGGATCATGGAAGGAAGCACCCGGGACATTGAGGCTAGACTGGCTGGAGGTCCAGTCGCTAAGTCTGCCTTCATAGCCATGGTCCTCAGCCTAAGCCATAAAGGCTGGAGGCCAAGCGGATGATTTCCTTCCTGTTGCCGCTCTACTGTCGGGGCCTCGGCTTTCGGCCTTGTGAGGCTTTTGTGACATCGCGCCCAGAGGTCGGCACTGACGGGGGATGAGCTCCTGCCTCAGTCTCCCTTTCTCTTACTCAACTCAACCGCGTTGCAGACAAGGCTCTAGCGTACACTAGTCGCTGTCACCTCCGACTTAGTATCCCACATCCTGAACAGCGTACTTTTGCATTCCAGCGAAATTCGCTCCGAATGGAATTGCAGCCTGTGTGTCGCAATGTATAAGGCACCAGTTGTCACCTGGCTTGAACGCATCCAAGGTTCTAGCCTTTTTACTTTTTGACATGATTTTTTGAAGAAAGTGCCCGGCGGTGCGGTCTTGGGGCTAAGGGCGAGATATTGCCGTTCAGATTCAGTTTGACCTGAAGCTCGAGCCGGAAGACCTGAAGCCCCAAATCCTAAAACATAGATATTACACCCGACCATCTGCTTCTGCACCCCAGCTCCTCCGCAATTTAGCCAAGGTTCATTTTTATCTGTGCCTGCCTAGCCGATTCGAGACTTTCCATGTCCAAAATCCCGCCTGGTGGTTAACATCTCGTACCACGACCTCGCTGGAGTCTTAACAATGGTCCGATACGCATTGACCTGCACATTTGATTGATTTGATTGCAGTCAAGATGCCCGAAGAGGATGTATGTTGTTTCGTCCTTCTGGCCGGCCGTGGCCCAACCCCCAACCCAGCTGAAGACGAAGCCAAACCAAGCCAACCAACTTTTGAGACTGTCCCTCGTGCGTCGAGTTTGTTGTGGATAGCATCTTGCTGACCCCGTTACAACTTACCAAAATTGATTTGATGCACTTTAGTGCCGCACAAAGAACTTTTTATCACAGGTTAATTAAGATGATGAGTCTCTAGAGTCAAGAAGAACCATAACCGCCGATCAGATGCATTTTGCAAAAACCGACTTAGTATCTTAGATCATCTCTTTCGACACCGTGAGTCGTTGGAGACTCCAGTCACCTTGATGCCATCCGCGGCATACCGACATACAAGCCGCCCCAATCGCGTCGGCCGAACCTGAATCATGCGTAGGACGCCTCCAGGCCACTACGGTTGCGCTTACTTGCGCCTCCCATTCACTCAGACATACACCGGGATTTCTACGGGGTCCCACAGCCGCCTCAGTTCGACAAGAACATGGTACTCATGCTGTTGTATGGCTGGACAACACTCACTCTGTGCACAGAAACGTTAAGCATGTTGAAGTCAAGCGGCACTTCGGGTTCAATTCGTAAACAAACCCAGCCGGAAAGGCGCCCCTGGCCCCTTGCAGCCTCTGCCAAATGTCAGCAAGAGTTTTCATGATAATTGGATTCGACCTAACGGACTGGGAATTGCGGATGAGTTTGTCACAGATGAGACCTTGCGAACTGCAATTGTGGATGGCTCGTAGCGAAGCGATACCATGCAAAGTTCAAGTTCCCCAACAGCTTGCCCCCATGCAAATTGTAGCTCCCGGTTTGTATCTTGCTTCAAAATCTGATTTCCGAATAGCTTGCTGCGAAACAGAGCACTGCAAATTGTAAGTCCCAAATGATTGACTACAAACCGTCCTTGTCCTTCTAACTCACCAGCAGCTTGCCACAAAACAAGACCCTACAATTTGGAATTTCCCCACCAGCCTACCGACAAATATTTGTTTCTTCATGACATCTTGCAAAAAGGCAATGTCGCAATAGCTCAAACCAAGACAGCTGAGCCGCACCCTCCGACGAGACAGTTGTGAATCGAGGGTCGATTGTTGCATTCTTGAAATGTACTCTTACGCCGATGCTAAAACAGTTCAATGCTATACGGTGCTTCTGGAAGGGTTTGGCTTGTGTTGGTATCGAAGGCAGATGGTGCGAGCGTTGTCCAATACTGTTTACAGATCTGTCTAAAACTCGTGAGTCGTGGCGTGCATGTTCCGTGCTCAGGGGCCAGGATGTCTTGGAAGCTACGCTAAACTCTGGCGCGGCACTTAGACGGAAACTGACGTGATTTGATGTCAGGGTGAGGACACAGGCAGCCTTCAGCTTCACGTAGCAGATGTGACTGTTTCAGATGTAGACACGCAGATGCGAAGCGTAGAAGCAATGGAAATTCGAGTCCACATGTCCAGATCGGTTCTCGTCATAATATGGTAACGATGTTCGCAAAAGTTTATCAATTCCTCCATCTTGACCTGGCAGGCAGAATTTCAGCACGGCCTTGGTCGGAAAACTACCAGTGTGTGCTGCGCGGTATGGCTTGCACCCAGTCTTCGGCCGATCTCCGTCAGTGCAGTACAGTCGCCAGGTGCTCGTGACAGGCTTACCGGGCTCTGGCACTATGGATCTTGCGAAAGCGCTCTCGAAGGCCAGGTCGTACACAACTCATCCTCATCTGTCATCGGATTGTCCCTTCTTTCTCTATCGGTGCATTTCTCTCCGTGTGTCGTGGCAAACTGTTGTGCGAATGCTGTAGAACACGTGATCCTGATGCGAGGAAACACGCTACAGTGCCGGGGTTTCGAGTCTTCGCATTGTGTTTATCCGGCGAGCATCGCAACGGCAAGTCTTGACCGCAGCCGTTCGACTCATGCGTATCCGGTCCGTTACAGACGGTGTGCTAGCTTTTTCTTCGAGTGGATTTTGGTGAACTTTGTTGGGCTTTCGGTGCCCGTCTTGTTATTGCTGTGGGCCGTGCACCCAGCAGCCCTTCCCGAGACCCGGTTTCCGACTTTACTTGGGACCGACCGGATATCCGAATACCTGCCCATAGCTTTATTTTTTTTGGAATCCGGCCCGATACCGGTCACCGTAATCCGAACTACGTTTTCAGCCAACGGAAAAATTTGCATGCGTCCGCTGCTTCTGTTCCGTTTCTGAACCCCTCCGCACGTAACGGACCAGTGCTCGTGGATTCACAAGTCGTGTTTATGCACAGTGATATTGAACGTAACGAACATCTACGACTGTGGCTTTGTGTTGATGAGCCTCGCTGTTAATACTATGGACGCAGGTGAATGCGAGGGATTGCACGAGAGCACGTGCCGACATGTCAGTTGGGATGTGGCAAATATCCGATTCTCCACATTCAAGATGTTTAGTCGGCTAAGTTGTGCTTGACAGAGTTAGGTGTTCGTCGTAACCAACCGACCATGGCAGCCGACTGTGGTAACAGCCATCGTATCTAGTTTCGACAAGGGTACATACATAATTTGGACCAGCACCTCCAAGACCGCGATGCCACTAACTACACGAGTGTTGGATGACACCGCCGATTTCGTTTACAGACCTCGGTGACCCATTGAAAGATTTAAGTATTTATTATTTTTCACGTCGCCTCCACAAAGCGAAAGGTTGAGCACAGAATGCATTCCCTCCCACATAGATGCTTCAAGAATGCAGATGAATTCCACGACTGAAACTGAAGAGTGATCATAATACACGAGGAGAACATGGTAATCTTCTGTTTGTGCATTCCGGCAAAAGTTGCTACTTGTCGGGCCGACAGGTGATGCGAGCACCCCTTCTCGACATGGCCGCGATGTGGGACAGCAGAAGCTTCATCCTCAGGCCTTTTCAATCATTCCAGCTTTGTGCAAGAACAGTTTAGCTACGACAGCCGCGGGAACGAGACCCAAGTCCAACCAACGAAGACCTCGCCAACTCCTTGCTCACAGCTTCCAATTCCCAACCTCTTAAGGGGAGCGCAATGGCGCAGTCTTCATATGACAACAGCTGTTCTATCGAGGGGCGGACAAGTCACCAATGCATTGAGAGCGTCGCACTATTCTTATTGACTGTCTGATTGCATGCCTATGAAACTCGACGCAAGTCTCAGGCTCTGGTTCGAGGGTGTTCGGCTTGCGCGATTGGCACGTGTCTCAGGATGTCCTCGCCCCGAAACTGATTTGTGTCATGTAGTCATGCCTGCTCAAGGCTGCAGGCAAATGCCCAAGAATGGGCTGTGCTTTGTGACGTCGAGCAGGAGTCTGCACGCTGGCTCACCGGCAGTCCTCCAACTTGTTAGCAGTTGTTATATAGAATTATCGCTCTGCACTCAAAATTGCCATTTGTGGGGCAGGAGATGATCTTTCTTTGATGTGAGCTGTTGATGAGCAGACCACGCATCTGAGCATCATGCGGTTGTAGCAGTGATCAGGATCCTGCTGAACTGCTGCAGCTGTGTGAGTCTCAAGGACGCCTCGCTGCATTGCAATCGTTGCCCGTTGTTGGTTGTTGTCAGCTGTACCAGGACTCAGCATCATAAGCCACGTTGCATGATTCTGAGATGAATTGACAGAGTCAATCGAAGCTGTTGTGTAGAGTCATTCTTGCATTATAGCAACGAAGCGACATGCGGGCACGTGAGCTGGTTCTCTTGATTCTATTCAAGGTCTCCGTCCTGGAGCCCTTCGTTGCATACCCTTGGGGTGCCGCATGGAGCTCAGTCCATTTGGAGCACGTGAATGAGCGTTCTTCCGAGTAATGGGCACGTCTAGGTCCCTGAGGAAAGAGGACTTTGCTACGGTAAAACATCAATAAATTATATAAAACAGCCCCCACCGGCCCAATGATTGCTTGTTGCGCAAGAGGCCCGCCACCCGTTGCTGCTAAGCCGCACAGCCAGTGGCTGGGTCGATGCTGCTTTCGTGCAGGCAGGGCCCAGGAAGGCTGTGCCCTGCGACCCGCACCGTCTCGCAGGATGGCCTGGTGAAGAACGGCAAGAGTTCGCAGGAGCATCATGAGCTTTGCGCCGCAAACTCAGAATCCAAGCAATTTGCCTTCAAGTGGCCGTGAGAGGGTGGTAGTGGCATCACCTTGTAAAAGCACGTGTAAGTCTCTGCTCCTCAAAGAGATGCACTCCAGCCGCGGTGGCGAGCAGGCCGCAGGGAGTCTGATACTTTGTCCTGACACTTGGGAGATGGACGCGGTTTCGTTTGCAGCTAGAGCTTGGGATGGACTGGGGAAGGCGGTTTGCAGAAAGGGAATGGCACATCTAGGGAAGGCAGTCCGACGAGATGCATTGGGAATGATAGCACAAAGCGCGGTGCCGACATGCAGGGAAGGCTCTCCAACATGCAGCAGTACAACGCCAGCTTGAACCTCCGAGCAAATAACAAGTATCACCGGGCAAAATATAGGTATATATATATATATATATGTATATACATATGTGTGGGTGTGTCAGTGTATGTCAAGATGACGTATGTATGTATGTATGTATGTATGTATGTATGTATGTATGTATAAGCATCTCGGCTGACAAGCGCGTCTGGAGGGCGCAGAATGGCACCGGCCGTGTACCAGGGAAAACCATGAATTTCCGGCCATTGGTGTCTCTACTTGTCGCGCTGAGCTTGGGATGTGTGCAGATATTGCCGATTGGGGCAACAGATGGGTGCACAACAGTAACAAGATCCCGCTTGATGCGGAAGGCGAGCACGCGAGGGAAATCCTGGCGTGCCGACGGCGATGCCACCTGGTTTTCAGCCGCATGGGGCAAACCATGCTGCTTAGGGCCCGGGGATGGTTGGCAGACCCCACCTTCTTCAACGAGTTCGATGTTTCCTGGAGCATCACCCACACACATCTGTGTGTGGCCCTGCGAGCAGCCCGCAACTCGAAGTACCCACCCATGGAGCTGGAGTTATGGACGTGGATCAGGCTGCATTTTCCAGCCCTCCTGCCGCACTTCTGGCTCGAAAGACAACCCAGGCAGTACGACTTCCAGTCTATGGATTGAAGCAGGACGAGGCCAACCACAGCAGCCGAGTTCTCCACATAGTCGAGTCTGTCCAGGCAAGCGGCAGCGCCGATGGCAGTTCAAGGTCATGAGGCATCGTCGACGTTGTCGGCGCAGACGCCCTGCAAGCCGAACAGCCCTTGTCCTGAGGAGTCAGCTCATCGACCTGCTCCGGTCCGTCTCCGCGGCCATAAGCTTTGACCTGACGTCGACCCAGTGCCCCCTTAGTGTGCAGAGGATCCTGCTTAACATGACGGTTGCCTGTCTGAGGACCATGCACACCAGAATACGCCTGCCTACTCGCTCAGCGGCTCAAACCTGCTGCGGGCCCCCGAGGAGCCACGACATGGCCGAGATTCCCGACTCTGCGGAGTTCGACGTCGTTGACGACGGGGCAGAAGATGGACGAGGCCAGCAGACTGGCCCATGGGGCCCTCCGGTCCCTATGTCTGTTCAGGCACTGAGAATGCCGAGCCAGCAACTATCTGGACGCATTGCAGGGTTTTTCGAATCGGAAGGACTGGCTCCAATTCGAATTCTTACACATCTCCCATGGGGATGGAGGGAGCTGGACAACATATCCGTCACGGTGAGCCACCTCTTTCACGATGAGGGGCTCCACCCCAACACCCTCGAGATCCAGGCGGCGGAGCATGGAGACGGTCTGGTCTCGGACAGCGCGCCGGCCGAAGCAGCTGAAGAAGCTGGAAGTGGCAGCAGCCGATGCCCCAGAGGATCCGCCGTGAACACCGAGGACGCCGAGGACAACACCGAGAACACGGTGGCGGCCGAAATGCGCGAGGGCCGATCCACAATGACAGCAGCAGAGCTCCGCAGGCTCCAGGTCGACTTCGAGTTCCAGAACCTCCTGAGGAAAATCGAGTCGGAGAACCGGGTTATAGGATGGGCAAGCGAGATCCCGGACTCGGAGACTCCCCGCCGAGAAGCCCCGGCTACCACCACGGCGACCTCATCCAGCCCGACCTTGAGTCCTACAACCAAGCCCAGGGTCAGCCGCAAGCTAGCTAGGGCCTCATATCGTCCGAGTACAGGTTGCACAGATGTCAAGCAGCTGCCCCTACACATCCATGACACTCTTACAAATGCATCTGCCCATGGGCTACTCAGGCGAACCCGTGAGGACTGAACCAAGGGACGGGCAGCCTAGTAACAGGCCGGCAGGAACGGCGAGCTTACGCTGCTCAACAGGGGCCCATCTTGGGTCGCCTCGGAGCAAGTTTTTGACCGAGACCTCCGCGCGAGCTCCAGTGATTAGGGTTGTTTCGGGTTGTCGGATGCTTCGATCCTATATGGCACTCCAGCCACACATCAGCCTCTGACTGTAATTGGGAACATGGTTGCCGAAGCTGGGTCCAGACAACCCTCCGCCAGCGAGCCAGCGGAACATGGAGAAAAGCTGTCGGATGCGCACACTGAGCCTCTACACGCCCAACCTCTGTGTCTTTGCGCGATCTCTATGTCTTTGTCTTTGCCTCGGCCAGCCAGGTACTGTACCCGCAGCTCCCTTCCTTCGCGGCCGGTGGCTTACACTCATGCACTATTCTTCTGCACACTGCTCGTCGAGGCAATCCACCTCGGCCTTGCCATTCTGTGTAGGTACCTGTTCGCGACTGCAAGCCGTCTTCGAGAGCAGGGACTCCTTCGGCAATGCAAGCACCTCATCTTCTCATGCATCCCTGGGCTACAGCACGACGCTCAATGTACAGAGCTGCCTGTCAGGCAGCAACCCTCCCGGACTAAGACAACATTTCGCAGCCGCCCGGGTCCCAAGTCCCGGGACAGCAACTTCGCAGCCAAGGCACCCAAATGCAGCTTGCTCTACTTCTACTCATCTTGAACCAGCCTGCAGTTGCTGTTGATGCGAGGGTTGAGTCGGCTGAGCACTACAGGGACTCTGAAGCCACAGATCAGATTTCAAGCAGTTATGTCGGGGCGAAGCCAAGTGCAATCCGCTTCTTGAACCCGCAACCACAACGAGGACCCCCTACTATACGGAAGAGGGCGCTCCAAAGAGCGATCACCAGGGCGAGCCAGAGTGCCACATCCACAACATGGTACCGAGGCAAGCTCTTACATGTCGACCAACTACGTGGTGGAAAGGGCCCCAAGCCCCACAAACCCAGCCGCACCCCAGACATGCCCCAACCTGGGCAGGCGCCTCGACTCCGGATCTTCAGTTGGAACAGTGGAGGCCTCACCGCAGTCCGCTACCGGGAGCTCCTTACATGGCTGTCTAAAGAGCAGGCCGAGGGGCGAGGGCACGACATTTGCATCATACTGGAGACAGCCTGGAAAGAGGACCTCGAGTACACGGCCACAGCAGAGGGCCAGCCGGGTGCCAAATGGCACGCTGTCCACAGGAGTGGCCAGCCAGAGAGCCTTCGCTACAATGTTCTCAGCCCTGGCCGGCTCCTCCACCTTCGCGTCCTACTGCAGGCACCGTTTGACCTACTTTGTACTTACCAGTGGGCGTGGAACCCTGGGCTGCCTTCCACGGGAAGAATCGAATCAATGAGATGACGAAACAACGCCGTGACCTCTGGCAGCTCATAGACAAATGGCTAGGGAGCCGACCTCAGCGTAGTTTTGTGGCCCTTGCAGGTGACTTCAATGCTGGCCTTGTTGCCGAGCAACTGGTGTGCGGCCAGGGAGTGGTCCAAGAAGCGGGCGCGGCACATCCAGACCAAGGTGTCTTTCAGGAGATTCTGCGCGCGCACACAGATGTTGTGCTTTGAACACCTGGACAGGAAGCGGCCGCAAAGCTCGCACCTACATACCTCCGAACGCCACGGCTCAGCACGGATCCCAGATTCATTGTGAAGGATATCCATGCGGATCACATCGCCAGGAAAGCGGCACCATTCATGTCGGAGCTTGTGCCCCGGACTGGCTGCCGACACTTACCAGTAGGGGCCTCTTTGATGGCCCCCCACAAGCCCGGCAGACAGACAGCGTCGGAACGGCTCCCGCCGAAGCAGGTACAGAGGGCCCTTCAACAACCCAACTTCGAGCACATACTCCACCACGAGGTAACTATGGCCCCGTCTAGTACAGATTCAGCGGCGACACCCACTGCAGACCCTGGATCACCTACTCTTGCAAGGTTGGAGGAGTGCAGTCATTCGAATGGACCCGCAAGGCGGTCAACGGCCTGTACCGCCCAGTCAGGACACTCTCACTCCGCAGGTGCGTGCCATGTGGCAGACCAGGGATGTACTACATGGGCTCGGCGTGTCCATTGGGCGATGGAGGCGGGCAGGGGTTCACCTCAGGACGGTGGTCCAGTTTTGGGCGCAAACCACTCGCCTGCAGACACAGACCCGGATGTTACGCCGGGCCTGCCGCCACAAAGGTGGCCGAAGTGGTGGAGGCGGACAGTGTGTTTCAAGCAGCCAAGCAATTTGCCCCTCGCAACCCGAAGCGCAGGCTACAGTTGCGCACGGCCAGCTTCAAACTCACGAGGCCGAATTCCAACAGATAGTTCAGCACTTCAAAGACCTTTATGACGGCCCGGAGTCTGCGCACCCCACCGGAGGCTGTCGGTGTTACGTTGCGGGAGCTGCACGAGGCCTTTGACCGTCTTAAGCCAGGCAAGGCCCTCCCTGGGACCAGTGCACCAGCAGCCCTGTGGAAAGAAATACTACAAGCTGCAGGTTCTACAGCTTGAGTACGACTACTACTTGCAGCCTGGAGCGGCCACCTTGCCCAGGGCATGGTGCCTCAGTGAGTTGGTCCTGCTGCCCAAACCTGGGAAACCAATGAAATCCCCGGCACACCTCAGGCCGATCTCACTGCTACCTCTTCAAGCCAAACTCCTGGCTGCGGTTCTTGCCAGCAGACTCCAAGGCCCGGCCAATGTCTTCTTGCAGAAAATCCCGCGGTCTTTATCACAGGCCCTGAAAAGGGTCATTGGCCACTGTGCGAGTGTCCGCAAACTCGTTCAGGCCAACAACAACAACACACATGGCAAACGTCAAGGACGAAATGGACAGGGCCTCTACGGAGGCTGCCACCTCTCACTCGACATTTCCTGTGCTTACGACCATGTCCCCTGGCAGTCTCTGGAGGAGGCTCTCACAGCCGCTGCGGTACCAGCGCCTCTCATCCAGGCCATCATGCTCGTACATCACACAGCTTGCCTGCGCATTAAACACTGCGGCCTCGAACAAACAGTTAGTCTCCGCCGCGGCCTCCGCCAAGGCTGTGGTTTATCGCCGCTGCTGTGGGCAGTGTACTGTGGATGGCTGTTGCAAGGCATGTCCGAGCCTGAGGTCCTCGACGTTCTTCAGACCAATACAAGTTATGCCGACGACATGCATTATGCATGGACAATCTTGAATGGCAGGGATCTCGAAAAGGCTTACGCAGCCATGAAGCACATCCTAACCTACCTGTGGCCAGGAGAAGACAGTAGTAGTCCTTGAGCTCCAAGGCCCGCAGGCTCCCAAAGCCCTGGATCGCTACACGGTCCTCCTTCGAGGTCACCGTCACTTTCGTTTTGTCATCGACTCTAGGGTTTTCCATCTCAAAGTTGTCTCCAAGCATGTCTACCTGGGGGCCGTCATCAGCTTCCGGAAGTTTGAACAGGAGAGCTTCCAGCACAGGCTCTCCCTGGCTCGTGGCACATATTCAAGGCTTGGCAAGATTCTGCGCAATCGAGTGGTACCGGTTCACTTGCGTCTTCGACTATGGTTAGGCTGCATCTGGCCGGCAGTCATGCACGGCCTTGACAGCACAGGTCTACCGCTCAAAGAGCTTCAAGCATTGCAAACACAGCTTCTCAAGCAAGCCAGGGCGATCGCCAATTCCCACAGCATGCTCACTAAGGAGACCAACGTCGACTTTGCGTGCCGCCTCCGGCTACCCGATCCAATTTTGCGTCTACGCCAGGCCCTTGAACACAGGACAGCCGCAGATCAGAACCTCCATGCTGTTCTTCGCCCCAGCGAGGCCCAGCTACAGTGGCGAGCCATTGTGAGAGGGCACCTTTTCGACAGCCCCGGTGGCTGGGACACAGTGCCTTCGAAAGCCATCACCCAGCTTAAGGCCCACCTACAGCCAGTTGATCAGGTTCTTCATGAGACGTTCAGTTGTGACATATGTGGTCAAGAATTCTCCACCCAAGCTTCCCTTCGAAGACACATGTATTGCAACCACTTGGATGAGGAACATCAGGTGCAGCGTGCACAGGAGGTGAAGGCTGCCATTCAAGGTGCCGAAATGTCACACACTAAGGATGGGATGCCCCAGTGTAAACATTGTCTTCGTGAGTTCAGCACCTGGCACGCCTTCAACTACCATGTCAACTCCCGAAGCTGCGAGTTCTTACGTGCACTATATCAGAACGAGACCTCGGTCAAGACTGTGATTCCTCTGCTCACCGACGCCCTGATTCACTCTCAGGAAGTTCTCGAACGTGCACAGAACTGCAGCTGGCAGGACCTTTCTTTACTGCCGTGTCAGGTCGAAACACCATCACTGCGTAGAGTGCAATCATTGGAGCGTCAAGCCGCAGTATGTGGAGGCACGTCACAGAAGAATCCCGAGTGTGACGCGCTCATCCAAAGTTGCATCCAGGACATCAAGGATAGCAAGCTCGGCCTGGCCAACCCTTGCCAATACTGCGGCCTCAGCTATAAGCGTAAAGATGCCCACCTAAGAGCCTGCGTAGGGGTCTTCAACGGGGTTTACCTACATCGTCGACTTGCTAGAGGCAAGGCCCTGGTCCTCACCGGCACTCCTTCGGGCGCCCTAGTCAGCCATGTTCGAAAGACCGGAGATGGCTCCGCCGACGGAGCCAACACTCAGGAGCTCAACTTCTTGAGGAACCTGACAAGCAGCCCGTTTCTTCCCAGGAACCCGACTCCGGACCACGAGATGGACCACGACCTCGAGCTGCTGTCGGAGCGCGACTTGGAGGCCCACTACAGTCACCCGGCCAAGTGGCCATAGCCTGCAGCCAGAAGGCAAAGGACGACAGCCAAAGGGCAATCGGCTGGCGCCCCATCGCTCCGAGACTTCCTGGCAGCCAAGCAACGGGTCCATGGCCCGTCAACAGGAGACGGCCCCCAACCACGGTCGTCGCCCCCGCACAGCTCAGGACAAGGAGCACAACGAGGTCCGGGAGATGAAGAACATCATCGGCCTGCTCTCATCCCTGGTTCTTCGACAAGAAGCCCAACAGACCATCATGAGGCAGGACACTGGATTCATGATCTTCGTCCAGACCCGCGCCCAGCAGAACTTAGGACAGAGCCTTTATCACATCGGACAAGCATGGCAGAAGACGAAGCAGGAGAACCCTGCAGCCCTATCCTCACTCATGAGAGTGGTGTTGTACCAGCATCTCCTCGGAGGTGATCAAGGACCGCGATGATGGCCTCCCCGTCCTCAAGATCCACGGCAGCGGGCATGGGGTGGATCTCTCAGTGCGGACAGCAGGTCCACGGCATCCGGTGGGACCCGGCGAGCCAGCAACATGTCAGGGACGAGAAAGCGGCTTCGTACTCGCCACAGGTGATCGAGGAGGCCCTGGACAAGCTCCTGATTGCCGCCCCCGCCCAGTTCGTTGTCCAGAGATTCCATGCTACGAGGCCACTGGCGGAGGAGTACCAGGCCACGGTACTGGGAATGTTCCTGGAGATTGGGCTTCGCACGCAGGAAGCACAGGACACGTGGCACTGCCTGCACAAGCTGGCGGGGTCTTCGGTATGGGCCGCAGGAGGGTGTTACCTGAGGCACGAGCGCATGCGTACGAGCGCCCTGGCCAAACGCCTGACAACCCTGACACAGCGCTCCAGGTCCGACTAGGGAATAGGCGGAACTTTTGCTATTCCAATGCCGTCTTTTTGGGGTTGCTGCATCTGGAAGGCCATGTCGAATCTCTTGAACTCTTCAGTGATTGCTTCAGATGCAAGGTGAGAGGTTTGCTTCAGGAGCCCAGTAAACTTTTTCACCTTTGGGAGGATTCCACATGGCTTTCGGGCTTGCAGACTTGGGTAGCTCCTGAGCAGCAGCACGATGCTGCGGAGTTCGCACAGCATCTCGCCCGGAGTAAACTTCTCCAGGCGAGCGGGGTTGAGGTGTTTTGGCAGGCCAGAAGGCAGCAGCACGGGCGGCTCCACATCCTTGCCGAGGGCCATTCTGTCCCTCTTAGCCTTCTCCCGCCGTGTGATGTTAAAGGTGATAGCGCCATGTCTTGTGATGTTCAGCGGCTCATTGATGTTTGGCATCGACAAGAAGCCACCCATGCTGCCTCGCTATTGGCCCCAGCAGGTCGTTTTCACGACGATGACAGCAGGGGCCAGGCAACCAAACGTCGTTACAGAGTGCATCCTTCTCAGTTCATTGAATTTCCGGAGTTTGTAGCAGGCCAGGCCTACTGCAAGACAAGGTCGTTTCGCCTTAGGGCGATCATCGTTCATTTAGGGAAAGGCCCCGACTCGAGGCCACTATAGAGCATGGCTCCTTGATGCCTATGATCGGTTTTGGTTTACGGATGATAACATGTGTGCCGTTCCGTTGAGTGTTGGTGATGTTGATAGACTTAGTGGCGACATTTACCTCTGTTGTTACGAGCAGTGCTAGTGGCTGCCCCGCTCATGTGGGTACTCGTACCGGGGGCTGAGTTGTTTCCTGTAGGGGAGGATGTTGACAGCTTGTGCCGGGCGATACGCCTGTCCTCCAACAGCGCTAGCCGAGATCGACTCTGCAACGTGCAAAGTGCAAAAGTATGTATGTATGTATGTATGTATGTATGTATGTATCTATGCACCTATGTATCTATGTATCTATGTATCTATGCATCTATGTATCTATGTATCTATGTATGTATATATGTCATCATATGTCTGTACAACATATATGTGTAGATACAGAGTATGCGCAAACAGTTATTAACATTAGTAAACAGTGGTAAAGACGGAGAATGCTGAGTCAAGAGTAAGTAGAAGTGGTATATAGCAATGAGTAGGGAGTAAACAGTAAAGAGTACGGAGGTGTTTTTTGATCTGCAGATGTATACATAACTAGTTATGTGAAGAGAAAACTGTCTCAATAGATACTCATGTATGTGCCTTCCTGCCGATGACGCCACTGTTTGAAACGGCGAGCTTGCTCTTGAATCGTCAAGAGTAAAAGGTTGGCAGCTTGCAAGATAGACATTTTCGAACAGTAAGGAGGAAGTAGCAAAAAGTAATATATGAAGAGTACACGGCAAACAATACAGAGCTCCGATTGCTTCATTAGCATCTCGGAGAGCCTTCCCCGCATGTTGGCGCTGTTTCGAAAACGGCGCAAGCCGCATGAAGCTTCTATGCCTCCAAGACCTATTCTCATTTCGGGAAGCCTTCTCGTCCAGCTGACCGGGCCATCGTCCACTCGTCTGTGGTCTCCCGGGTAGTCCTTTGCTATTCAATTTGAAACCTGGCTTGATTCGTTCAGCCCATCCCGTGGCCATCCTTGTCAGCTCGATGCTCGCATACCGGATCTTCTCGTAGTGCTGTCTGGAATATGCATAGCGGCACAGTGGCTGTGTCCTGTGAACATCAGCTTTGCATTCGACATGGAAGCCCAAATCCGCGAAGCATGATCATAGTGGAGGCGAGCATGAGACCGCTGACTGGTGACATCATCGAGGTGCCTTCTCACACACCTTGAGATGCAACAAGTCTTGCGAGAATAGCGCTAGGGTGCATTGAGACGAAGTCCATCGCCACTTGCACGATTCCTGTCCCGGCCGTGGCCTTACTTGCATATCAAGTGCTGCCTCATGCCATTGATAGGACATGTCTTAGCATCATTGTATCTTGTGCCGCTAAGCAGCAGGAACACCGTGCATGAGACGAAGAAGTCCATCCCGAAAGATGATGTAATGTGTGTTGACGTGACTGAATCCGGTTGTCTGGAGGCCGTATCAGGGAATGTCTTCGACTCACGGCGAACTTTTCCAACCGCAGGTCGCGAGGAGGTTTTCCCTCTGGCTTGTCCATGCTTTGTTTGACCAGGCCAAGCTTTGGAGATGCTTCGTGCCAACATTTCACGTTCTGGACTTCGAGGTGCGAACTCTACCAACGTTTGCGACAGATGCGGCTCTGGAAACATTTGCTATTGCTTCAGTCTCGACTCTGCAGCTGGTCTTTCTCGTATTGTTTCTGCATTGCTGTGGACTTTTTCTGGTTTCGCTTGATTCTGTCAACGTTTCTCTCAATCTCTCTGCAATTTCTCACGTTCGGACTGCTCGGATGTTTGAGTAGATCTCTTGGCCAGCCTCTTGGCCTCTGAGCAGCCTGGCAGAGCATGCAGAAATAAGTCGGTGTTTCAAGTGGTCGTTTATAGAATTCGGAGTCTCCGTGAGATGGAATGGCATGTGCATGGACGTGCTGTTGCAACTTTGGGAGCTGCTGGGTGGTGCTTGCCATTGTCCGTTCAGGTTCTCCGAAAGCTCTGCGCACAATGCCTGCACCAAGCTGCAGAAGCCTGTGTGCCGAGTTGTTCATATCTTGCCTGTGAAAGCCACGGCGGCCAATGTGCCAATCTGACAACGCTCGCATCTTCGCACGAACAAGGAGTTCATATTGCCTCCTGAGCGCAGCTCTCACTGCGCCTCGGAGAGCAAAGAGAGGACTGAGGAGACTCTTGATTTTCTGAATTCACAGCTTGGTTCTTAGGCCCTTCGGTCTGGAAAGGCCTTTTCTGCATCGAGGCCAAGGTGCGAAGCTGAGCTCTGGAGCAGATGACATGGGGCGAAAGCATGCAGACAAGGCCCGTGCCGTGGATTCTGGTGCTTCTTTCTGGGTCGCGCACTTACTCGTAGCATCTTTTGGTCTAGAGAGAGACTGGCGAAGTTCGTGATGGGGCACAAGTCCGACTCTCTTGTCTGAGCTGAACCGGTTGTGCGACGAAATGAAGCATACATTGTCCCATCAGGTTACTCCTTGCTTGTAGTTCTTGGCCACAAAGTGAGGACTTCGCTTGCACAAGTGGCGACCACGTTCACCGAGGCTCAACCGGCACTGGAGCTTCAAAAGGCTGGCATTGCAGAGTGTCCACTGCAGCGTCCATTGCAGAGGGTCCGTGAGGCGGCCGAGGAAATGGAGATCACAGCAGCCAAGGCTCGTTGAGCGACTGCTGGGTAAGGGCGTGATCTGTGTCTTTTTTTTGAATTATTTGTGTCTTCTTTTGCCATATCTGAGTTTTTTTCTTTTTTTTTTTTTTTT